ATCTGGAAATGTGCAGTGCATTTTGGCTGTGGGTGGTTGACGGAATAGGTGCAATTTACATGTTGTCCCACACCTGAAACCACCTGCAACAGTGTGCACCTAGCTTAAAGTGGTAGTAAACTCTTGTTGATTAAAAAAAAAAAAAAAAAAAATGGGTCCCCCGGCAGGTTCAAGCCATAGGGGTTGATTTACCAAAGGAAAATAGACTACACACTTGGAAGCTCACTGAAAGTGCAGTTGCTCTAGATCTGAGGGGAACATGCAAGGGAAATAAAAACCAAAAAAAAAAAAAAAAAAAAAAAAAAAAACAGCATTTTTGCTTGCACGTGATTATTGAAACAAATCAGCAGAACTTCGCCTCATTTCATAGCTTCCCCCCCGGATCTAAAGAAAAAGCACTTGCCGTGCACAGTATATTTACCTTTACTAAATCAACTCCAAAATGTACAACTATGCACTGCATATTAATACATTATGACAGACTTACCTAAAAACAGCAATGCCATCTTCACCCAATCTTCCTTCAAGGTCTCCTATACTCGGCAGTTTGAATGGCCAGACCGAGGTGACATCACTCCCGCGCATGCGCACAGGAATCACATTGCCAGAGCATGCCACAAATGGGGTCTGAGTTGCGCATGTGTTGCTCAGATCACATTACCTGCTTACACATGGGGGAGATGGGGGGCAATCATGACAGAAGAGACCTCTAGGGTCTCCTCTGTTATAAAAGCCCTGCCTGTCAGCGAATTTTCATATTATGACTTTACTACCACTTGAAAGCTCAATTTTATCCCCTCACCCAACCCTGATTTCAGATGTCTTGAAGCCAGTCACATACCACCACGTTTGTTTTCACTTCTTCTCCAGCCCTGGACGGTCCTTAATGATGCAGAAAGAGGAGTTAATGTGGTTACGTCATCACTGTTCCCTGCATCATCATATTGGAGTTCAGGGTCCTATGGTGACACACCCCAGGGGGCCCCCTGATGCCCAGTACTCACAGGAAGCAGGTTGCCACTCCTTGGAGACTGAGAGTATACAGTAGCAAAGAGTCATTACTGAGAGGGATATTGTTGGATTAGAGGCGAGTATCCTACCATCTCTCTGCCCATTCTTACACATCTACCTCCTCTCTGTCTCTTTGCTGTCCATCCAACATCTCCCTCTCCTCACCCTCCATCCATACACACCCACCTTTCCTCTCCCTCCTCGCTGTCCCTCTATGCGCCTCCCCTCATCCTCCTCGCTGCTGCCCCTCCAAGCGCCTCCCCTCATCCTCCTCGCTGCCTCTCCAAGCGCCTCCCCCTCCTCGCTGCCTCTCCAAGCGCCTCCCCTCCTCGCTGCCTCTCCAAGCGCCTCCCCTCATCCTCCTCGCTGCCCTCCAAGCGCCTCCCCTCATCCTCCTTGCTGCCTCTCCAAGCGCCTCCCCTCATCCTCCTCTGCCTGCCCCTCCCCTCATCCTCCTCGCTGCCCCTCCCCTCATCCTCCCCGCTGCCCCTCCCATGCATCCTCCCCTCATCCTCCTCGCTGCCCCTCCATGCGCCTCCCCTCATCCTCCTCGCTGCCCCTCCATGCGCCTCCCCTCATCCTCCTCGCTGCCCCTCCATGCGCCTCCCCTCATCCTCCTCGCTGCCCCTCCATGCGCCTCCCCTCATCCTCCTCGCTGCCCCTCCATGCGCCTCCCCTCATCCTCCTCGCTGCCCCTGCATGCGCCTCCCCTCATCCTCCTCGCTGCCCCTCCCCTCATGCTCCTCGCTGCCCCTCCCCTCATGCTCCTCCTCCCCTCATGCTCATGCTCCCTCCATGCCCCTCCCCTCATGCTCCTCGCTGCCCCTCCATGCGCCTCCCCTCATGCTCCTCGCTGCCCCTCCTGTGCAATTAGCTGAAATGAGGCACAAGTAAGTATTAGAGGGGCTGCTACACACAGAAGGTTTTTTACCTTCATGAATAGAGTGCATGAAGGTAAAAAAAACTTGCACCTTTACAACCACTTTACAGGTGCTTAATTATTTTGGAGACCACTGTAACATTTCATATTAAGACTCCATACACACTAAGTTACAAAAAAAAAAAATGGGAGAGTCTTTAGCAGAATAAAAAGCTCATTTTGAGCATTTTTTTTTACTAGTGTAGTACCCTTCTAGTCAGCTAGGGGGAGGTAGACTCTAAATGATAGCTAGGAGTGCTGAGTAACAGCCTGGGTGTGATAGCTAGCAGGGGTCAAATCTGACGAATGGCTAGTCTGTACTCTTAGGCTGGCCATACATTATACAATTTTCTTGAGAATTTTGCTTTAGATTTATCAAAAACCATTTAATATGAGGTCAAATCTAAACAACACTTTCATTTGTATCCAATTAGGCAGACCCTTGCACTACATAGTTGAAGGTAAATCTAAAGGAAATTGGGCAGAAAATTGTATAGTGTATGGCCAGCCTTAGAGGATCATGGTCAATCCCCAAAAGGAGGCTTGGCAAGGGGCCAGGACAGCCTTTAAGAGTAATTGAGCAGGGGGAGAGTTGGAGGAGATTTTGGGTGGAAGATGAGGATGTGAGGCTGGAGAGCAGGAGCCTGGGAGGGAGCCCAGATGAGAGAGGGGCTTACCTCTAGGCAAGAGGATTTAGGAAGGAGGAAAACTTGGGACCTCACTGGCCCCCTGAGAGAGGACCACCTGTGTGGCAGGGAAGGAGAGGCCCAGCTAAAAGGCCTGGTACTAGCCACCGACCCACCAGCAATACAGGAGAAGGACTGAGTGAGCAGACCTGCACCCCTGGTGCCAGCTAAGGAAGGAGCACTCTCGTTGGAAACCAGATTAGCAACTACCTGGGACTATCTTCTTTTAAAGAGACAGGCACTGGATCCCCTGCTCACTGAGAATGGCTGGATTAGGACAATGTGGGGTGGTATACCCGGAGACACTGGCTAGCTCTCCAAGAAGAGGCTTTTTGTGTAAAGACTTGTACATAGTTCAGGAAGATTGTCCTCAGTTACAGTTCCATTGGGCATCCCATACACCCCTTACTCTATCCAAATTACAATCCCTTAATACAATCACAAAACAAAGCTCAAGGACTGGTTACTGACTCCTGGGTGCAAGTCTATGTGAAAGTGCATGTTGCCTGGCTATGCAGAACTATAGGGTGACCCAAATCTTCAGTGACTCCTAAGGGTGTAGTGCTACATTAGCATTTAGGCACGTTTAGAAGTGTTTGGATGCATTTAGCGTTTTTTTTTTTTCTGCCAGAAAACTGCTCTCAAAAACAAAAGGCTTTTTTTTCAGCCTCTAAGGCCGGCCATACATGGGTTAATTTTCAAATGATTTTTCCTTTGAAAATTGGACCTAAGAATAATCAGCTTATTTTTGCTCTGTTAGTGGGGCAATGGCAACGGACGATTTTCGTGGTTCCTCCCCATTTCGTTTATCGGACATGCTCAAGCAACAATACAATGTGATACACGAGGGGTTCGAGGGCCCTGCTCCTTGGCACTTACAATCTAGGAGGGAGGGAATTCACATTCATTAGATGCGATCTGAAGTGCAATTTCAATTCACACCAGTTTGAGCAGACACTTAAGGCTCCATGTACACGGGACACTTCTGACCGATGGAAACTGACTGCTGGAAAACGTAATTAAAAAACGTCTATTTAGCTGCGTTTGTATACTGCGTTTATGCATGTTTGCGTTTAAAAGCGTTTTTTAAGATAACCTCAGGAGACCTTCCAAAATGCCCAGAATGCACTGAAAAACAGTAAAAAAAAAATTAACTATTTCAGATATTTTGAGAGAAAGAGAGCAGAAGCAGAGAGAGCAGTATGTGTTGAGATGACCTGTCTTTTTTTTGTGGTGTTTGGATGTGTTAAACCTCATTTCTGTGCAGAAATTATTGCAGCAGTGTCTAACATATTTTTTTTCATGCAAAACCTCAAAGTATGGTGTACCAGGTCCATGTGAGTACCAGGAAAACACTTTGCATGCATTTTTCATGATGCAAAAAGGCTCTGGACAGCATCTGCAAACGGAAGAGATGAAAAAAAATTTCAAAACGCAAACGCCTATAAACGCGGTTAGCTGCGTTTGAAGCACTGATAAAATCTACTCCTGAACACAAGTTTTCTGCGTTCAAAAAAACGACTGTAAACTCAACTGCCTGTAAACGACGATGTGTACATGGACACATAGGAAAACATTGGGGTGAGTTCAGGGGCTGCTGAAAAAAAAAAAAACACCGCAGAAAAGCTCCTAAACGTGAGTTTATCAGCTGCAGTGTACATGGAGCCCTAAAAGTTTAACCAAAACTTTTTTTTTTTTTTTGCAGTTTTGGATAGAGTGGAGAAGGATCAGAACCCCTGTATGTTTTCATTGCTGTCTGTGTCCCCATTAGGGAGATTCACCCCTTTCTACTTGTCCTGTTTACCATTATCATCCAAAGTGAAAGTAAAAGAAAATTCCAACAGTTTGTGTTGACATCAGAACAGTAATAGAAGAAAAATCTTCCAATGGGGACACTAGTTCTGGTGACACCCTGGGATTTCTTCTCACTTCCGGTTTTGGCCATGGGACAGGAAGTGAAATCTCCCCAGTGGGACACAAATAGCAAAACAAACGATGACCAGAGTCGTAACCCTCCCTTACTCTATGCAAAAGGTTCTGCCTAGAGTCATACTTTGAAGTGATTTGGCATGTGTGGTGTGACAACATCATAGGCCTCATATAATGTCACTGTGGATGTGGGGGCACCGATATTGACACTAAAAATGACCTATTTCCCTTTGTTGTCCTCAGATTAGACATGGACCCTCCATATGAACAGCCCACCCTATTTCCGTCTATTGGCCTGAGCCATTACCATAGAAACGGCAAGCATGGGGTGCAGAAGGCAGTAACCATGGAAACCAGCTGGAGAGATTCCTCCACATATCCGCACTGAAGTGAGCCCGGCCAGGACTACAAGTCGCACAGCACGACTCCCCCTAGAGGTCAGCCCCATCACTCACCAGAAGAAGCGGACCAGCAGCTCAAAGGCTCCAGGGAAGACCAGGTCATCACTGGCTATGACCCAGCGGCGGCCGAACATCATGAGCCCCGGCATCCTTCCTGCGGTCCGGCCTCTACCACCCTGGGGAGAAGCAGCCGACAAGCCCGCGGTATTCCTCCTCCGACACCGCCCTGGAACCCACGGCCATCACCAGCCTGTCACCACACAGGCTGAAGGACCCTTGTGATGTTAGGATCATGTGACCTGAATGGGCGGGGCTGTGTGTGACTGAGCAGGGTGGGAGGGGCTCTGCGCTCTATTTTGTCTGCTCATGTTTCGCAATGTAGGTTGGCTTTTCGCAATGTCCGCTATCAAGCAAAAAAGTTTACTCCAAGTTCATACCTATGCAGGTTGCGTTTGAGGCGTTTCTGCATTGCATTTTGCCTTGCGCCTTTGCACTTGCGTTTTGGATGCGTTATTAATGCATTTTGTGTTTCTTTTTCATTTTTTTCTTGTTGCTAGGCAGACTTAAAACGCAAAATGCGTAAAATACGCAGCAAAAATGCAATACATGCTTTTCTGCAGTATTCCCATTGAAGTCCAAAAACGCAACTTTTTGCGTTCAAAAAAGTCCCTGAGCCTGGGTTCACATTAATGCAGTGCGCTGCATCGCATGTGATCTGCACAGGAACCACACTGCATTCCTGTGCAAATCACATGAGATTTGTGTGTGGTGCAGTTGGAGACATACATTTTGTATGACTCACATGGCACTGCACCTGCACCAAAAAGGTGCAGGACGCATTTTTGGCTCCGCACTAGAATCGGATCGCATGGATATTCACACCTATGAGATCCGATTCTGCACATCACACCGTGTTTTGCAGACCGATTTCTGGGTGTTGTTAACATACACACCCAAATCCATTCGCATGATTGGGGTGCGATACTGATGTGGTGCAGAATTCGCACAGAAAACGCTGCAAATTCCGCACCGCATCAGTGTGAACTCAGCCTTCCCACATGTGTGGAAACGTGAAGATGTGAACCTGTCCCATAGGATTTCATGTTAAATGAACTGTACTGCGTTTCTACAAAATGCTGCAGAAAGTGCACAGGTGTGAACCTAGGGTAATAAGGCCAAGCTCACATATGTGCGGCCGTGCAGTCCACGATTTGCGCGGGGGCACGAGAGCCGGTTGATTTGAATGGACTCCCCTGCCCGGGACATGCAGGTAAGAAGTCCCTGCACTTCTTCGGCAATCACATCCTACATGGGAACCCAGTACATCCTGCGAGGTTCCCAGTACAGTTGCGATTTCCAGTGAGTGCAGCATGCCATTAGAATTAATGGCAACCACCTGCAGGTCCCGCATTCTTCTGTGTGGGTGGTGCAGCTGCAGGCATTTGTGCAGGTCCCACAACAGCGCCACCCACACAGATGTGAACCAAGCGGAATGGCCGGTTCACACTATACAGGAACACAGTCCAGATGTGTTCTGGATGCGTTTTTGCATGCGTGTTTTTGACGCGTTCCAGTTCATTTTTTCCCCTCTCTTTTTCTTCAATTTAAATAGGGACATGTGCATCCCAGTGCATTTTTGGTGCCTTTTTGATGCGTTATACCATGTTCCAGTACAGTTCTGTGCAGGAAAAAATTCAGCATGTTCTACTTTTTTTTTCTGCAACCGCAACACACTGGAACTGCAATCACTGATGTGAACTATGACATTGACAACCATATAACTTAAAAGACATGCTGGTAGGTTAATTGGATCCTGTCAAATTTGGCCCTAGTATGTGTATGTATGAATGTGAGTTAGGGACCTTAGATTGTACACCCCCTTGAGGGTTAGGGACTGATGTGATGTACAATATATACAGTAGAAGTGAGTCCACCCCTCACATTTTTGTAAATATTTTATTCTATCTTTTCATGTGACAACACTGAAGAAATGACACTTTGCTACAATGTGACGTAGTGAGTGTACAGCTTGTATAACAGTGTAAATTTGCTGTCCTCTCAAAAATAACACACAGCCATTATTGTCTAATCCACTGGCAACAAAAGTGAGTACACCCCTAAGTGAAAATGTCCAAATTGGGCCCAAAATGTCAATATTGTGTGACCACCATTATTTTCCAGCACTGTCTTAACCCTCTTGGGCATGGAGTTCACCAGAGCTTCACAGGTTGCCACTGGAGTCCTCTTCCACTCCTCCATGACGACATCACTGAGCTGGTGGATGTTAGAGACCTTGCGCTCCTCCACCTTCTGTTTGAGGATGTCTCACAGATGCTCATAGAGTTTCAGATCTGGAGACATGCTTGGCCAGTCCATCACCTTTACCTTCAGCTTCTTTAGCAAGGTAGTGGTTGTCTTGGAGGTGTGTTTGGGGTCATTATCATGTTGGAATTCTGTTCTGCGGTCCAGTCTCCGAAGGGAGGGGATCATGCTCTGCTTCAGTATGTCACAGTACATGTTGGCATTCATGGTCCCCTCAATGAACTGTAGCCCCCCAGTTCCGGCAACACTCATGCAGCCCCAGACCATGACACTCCCCCCACCATGCTTGATTGTAAGCAAAACACACTTGTCTCTGTACTCCTCACCTGGTTGCCACCACACACGCTCAGCACCATCTGAACCAAATAAGTTTATCTTGGTCTCATCAGACCACAGGACATGGTTCCAGTAATCCATGTCCTTAGTCTGCTTGTCTTCAGCAAACTGATTGCGGGCTTTCTTGTGCATCATCTTTAGAAGAGGCTTGCTTCTGGGATGACAGCCATGCAGACCAATTTGATGCAGTGTACAGCGTATGGTCTGAACACTGACAGGCTGACCCCCCCCCCCCCCCACTCCTTCAACCTCTGCAGCAATGCTGGCAGCACTCATACGTCTATTTCCCAAAGACAACCTCTGTTTATGACGCTGAGCACATGCACTCAACTGCTTTGGTCGACAATGGTGAGGCCTGTTCTGAGTGGAACCTGTCCTGTTAAACTGCTGTATGGTCTTGGCCACCATGCTGCAGCTCAGTTATTACAGTGATTACACTATAGAAACGCAGTCCAGATGTGTTCCAGATGCATTTTTGCATGCGCATTTTTTTACACTTTTTTTTACGTATTCTGGTGTGTTCTTGATGCATTTTTGATGCATTCCAGTGCGTTTTTTATGCATTCCAGTTAATTTTTCCCCTTTTTCTTTAATTTAAACAGGGACATGTGTGTTCTATGGGGTTTTTTTCATCTTTTTAAAAATTTTCTTGTTGCTTGGAAGATTTAAAAAGCATCAAAAACACAGCAAAAATGCAATACATGATTTTCTGTAGCATTTCCATTGAAGTCTATAGAACCATAAACGCAACTTTTTGCGTTCTAAAAAGTCCCTGACCCTTTCCAAAAAACACACCGGGTGAAAACGTGGAGATGTGAACGTGTCCCATAGGAAATCATGCTAAATGGACTGTAGTGTGTTTCTGCAAAATGCTGCAGAAGCACTTAGGTGTGAATCTAAGGTAAGTGCCAGGTCACACTACATGCGCTTCAGTTGCTTTTTTTTCTGCATCCAAAACTCACAGAAAGTAGGTTATATGGTTGTCAATGTCATAGTTCATGCATTTCGGTTGCAGAAAAAAAAAAGTAGAACATTTTAGAACACAACTGCATTTTTTCTGCACAGAACTGTACTGGAACGCACCAAAAACGCACTGGAATGCACATATCTCTATTTAAACTGAAGAAAAAGAGAGGGGAAAAAAATAACTGGAATGCATTAAAAAACACACTGGAACATGTCAAAAATGTACCGGAACGCATCAAAAATGTGCATGCAGAAACGCATCCGGAACGCATCTGGACTGCGTTTCTATAGTGTGAACTGGCCCTAAGTCTAGGTTTACACCTAAGTGTTTTCTGCAGCATTTTGCAGAAACGCACCACAATCCATGTAACATGATTTCCTATGGGACACATTCACATCTCTGCGTTTTCACCCGGTGCTTTTTTGGAAAGGGTCAGGGACTTTTTTAAGCACAAAAAGTTGCGTTTTTGGTTCTATAGAATTCAATGGAGACGCTGCAGAAAAGCGTGTAGTGTGTTTTTTATGCATTTTTTATCTGTTTGAAGGGCCCTTCCAAAAAAAATCACTGATTAAAGCTTATGTGTGCATAGACACATAGGATAACATGCTGGGGAGTTTACTGTTTGTAGAAAAAAAATGGCAAAAGCCAAAAACAGCTGCTGTACAAAACATCCAGTGTACATGAGGACTAAGAATCAGTATTATTTTGCTGGAAAACCCCCAAGCATGCAAGGACGCCTGCCATTGATTTGGACAGAGCATTGATAGTGACACCTGCTAACATACGGTGAGAATTTATAAAAAAACTGGAGCAAACACAATCTGAAGCAGTTGTGTATGGCAACCAATCGGCTTCTATCTTCAGCTTGCTTAGTTAAGATTTGAAAATAAAAGATAGAAGCTAATTGGTTGCCATGCAGATTCATGCCTCTGCCCCATTTTTAACCCCTTGGCACCTCCCTTTAAAAGGTTTTAGATTCTCGGAGGCCAGCCAAAGTTTCTGATCATGTGACTTCCATGATTGGCTGTCACAGCTCCTGATTGCAAGTAGAGATCAGAAGTTTTTTATTAGCCGCTGGTAACCCAGCCAGGAGCACGTGCGGCGCACACTCTCAGCACAGGTCTGCTTACCTTTAAGTACACATATACGCAGCGGTAAGGCCCTATTTTTAACCCATTGGCGCCAGAGCCTCCCCCAGCCCTTTAAAGGGTTTTAGATGCTGGGAGGTGGGGCAGAGTTTTTGATTGTGTGCCTGCCATGATTGGCTGTCACAGCTCCTCTACTTCAATTACCCCACAGCTGGAAAGAACAGATAAGCAGTCAAAAATTACATTAGAGCAAGTAAATGCACAATTAATGGAAGCAATGCAGGCAAGCAATGGTATACTATCAGGGAAAATGGATGAGATAAAAATAGACATTGGATTATTAAGACAGGACATGCAGAAAATCCTGGCAAAAGTAGCGGTGGAAAAGATATCCTCCCTGGAAGATGTAGTGTCTCCAATGAGTAAGATGATATCAAATGCTGGCCGACAATTAACATTATGGCAACAAAAAGCAGATGATTCGGAGAACCAAATCATAATAAAAGGATTGTTGGAATACTAGAAAAAGTAAAGGGTCAAAAAACAAGTGTTTTTGTTGAAAAATGGCTGAAAAACATATTTCCTGGTGCTGAATTATTATTAGCATTCTCTGTGGAAAAAGCACATAGGGTTCCTGCGAGGCCACCACAGCAAAGTGGAACCTCCTAGACCAGTGATGGCGAACCTTTTTGAGCCCGAGTGCCCAAAACTGCAACACAAAACCAACTTTTTTATTTCAAAGTGCCAACACTGCAATTAACCACTTGCCTACCGGGCACTTCTACCCCCTTCCTGCCCAGTCCAATTTTCAGCTTTCAGTGCTGTTGCACTTGACAATGACAATTGTGCGGTCATGCAACACTCATTTTTTCACACAAATAGAGCTTTTTTTGGTGGTATTTAATCACCACTGGGTGTTTTACTTTTTGCACTATAAATGAAAAAAGAGCAAAAAATTAAAAACATAAAAGGTTTTCTTTGCTTCTATTATAAAATTTTGCAAACAGGTAATATTTCTTCTTTGATGTGCGTTGGTGAGGCTGCACTAATAGGCAGCACTGATGGGCATTGATGAGGCGTCACAGATAGGTAGCACTGATGAGGTGGCAATGATGGGCACTGATAAGCAGCACTGACTGATAGCACCAACTGGAGGCACTGACAGACGGCACTGATCGGCGGCACTACTGGGCATCATTGATGGGTGGCACTGATGGACGACACTGCTGGGCACTGACAGGTGGTACTGCTGGGCAGCACTGACAGGTGGCACTGCTGGGCAGCACTGACAGGTGACACTGCTGGGCACTGATGGGTGACACTTCTGGGCACTGATGGATGACACTGCAAGCAGTTAATCTCACCTCTGGCAGTGTCAATGTGGCTTCCAACCCAGCAGCTCATTCCCATCCACGCTGAACACATCGCCCCTGGCCCCGGAGCAGTGTGGGAGCCTCTTCCTCTCTTCCACGCCCATCCCCGGCTACATCACCCCTGGTGCCAGATCCGCATAGGAGCCATTTCCTCTCGTCCACACCCACTCTGGCCCCAGAGACATGTGGGAGATGTAGTTTGATGGGGGTCCAGTGTGGACGAGATCTGGATGGCCGGTCAGTGTGTGTGGTCCATGTGTGCTCATCTTCCTCTTCTTCCTGGCGTGCCCATTGAGATGGCTCTGCGTGCCAGCTCTGGCACGCATGCCATAGGTTCGCCATCACTGTCCTAGACCAAGGCTTGCACGTTTGTTAAACTGTAAAGACTGAGATATGGTGCTAAGGAAGGCGAGACAGTAAGGCACTTTGCAATATGAAAGCAGTAAGATTTCTATATTTCCAGCTTTCTCCATGGAATTACAGAAGCAGCAGGCAACCTTTAATGACGTCAAAATGAAGATGAGAGAAAAGAGGATAGAATATTCAGTGGCATACCCAGCAAGGTTGAGAGTGATGGATAAGGGAATAGTTATGTACTTCAATACCCCAGAACAGGCTCAAGAATGATTATGAATCTGCTAGAGGATCGGATTGGGAGGAGAACAAGGAAAAAAGGATATAATACGAATATGAAGGTTAAAAAGGAATCTCCATACATATAAAGAACTATAGAACAATGGACTCCAAAAGATTTAGTATGATGATGATTGCCTGAGCAAGGAGAGGAAGGGGGAGGGAGGAGGGGAGAAGGGGAAAATGTAATTACTCATTTATGCATTGATTTCCTTTATTTTTTTTTAATTATTGTGTGGCACTAAGCGGTAAGAAATTTTTAATAGGGGGCAGGCAACGCAAATATGGGGAGGTAAGCACTGTATATAGAAAATTATATAAAATATTAATTGATTCGGGGTATGAATATCTGATAGCAAGTGACATTAGTAAATGGAATTAATAGTACAATGAGAACTAGGACTACAAAGGGTGAAGGGGGTTGGGGGAGAGAGGGGAGGGAGGAAAAAAATTAGGTGTTTAACAGATAAATGGGAAAAAATAGGGAACACACACATTCTGTAGAGATAATAATACTGAAGGTAACACAAGATATTTAAGTATTAATTGAAGTAGGCATGAATGTGGTATAGGTATACAGTAGGTAATTGAAGGCATAATGAGGAATAGTTCATTATGTTTTGTTTTTTTATTTTTGTTTTTTCTCACTTCGTTCCTCCCTCTTCCTCCTCCTTACTTTTGAATTGAATGATCTAAGATTTTTGAGGTAATGAGGGAAAGGTATGGAGCTACCCCTATTCCCTCCTCTTCAGTATACAGTACAGTAAGGAAAATAATTATTTGATCCCCTGCAGATTTTATACGTTTTCCCACTTACAAAGAAAAGAAGGGTCTATATTTTTTACTCATAGGTGTATTTTAAATGATAGAGACAGAATATCAACCAGAAATCCAGAAAAAAACAGATGATGCAAATGCTATAAATTGAGTTGCAGTTCAGTGAGTTCAGAAGCCTATGTTATGTGCTATAGGATATTTATATGTGGATAGACCTGATAAAAGATAAATATGGAAGGACACAAACTCCAAGGATAGGAGTGGGTACCATTGGGAGACTGATTAAAGAGGTAGGATGGATAGATCTATGGCGTGTTAAAAAACTCAGAGGTTAGAGTATACTCATGTGCATCTAGGGTCTCTCTCCCGGATAGATTTAGCATTGGGTAATGATAAGCTACTGCCATTGGTACACTCGGCTATATATCTTACCAGAGAAGTGTCAGATCATTCCCCACTGCTACTTGAATTGGCAGAAGGTTTAGGGGGTAGATATCCAGGTTGGAAACTACATCCCTATTGGTTATCACAGACTGGGGAAAATGGGGTTGTATACCGGATCAGTTGGCAATATGTTTATAGAAGCTCATGGGGAATCGCCAATGGATGGTACTTTTTCGGATGCGTTAAAGGCATATTTAAGGGGAGCCCTGAGATCAAAAATAGCATACATTAAGGCAGTGTTTCTCAACTCCAGTCCTCATGGACCCCCAACAGGTCATGTTTTCAGGATTTCCCTCAGATGAAACAGCTGTGGTAATTACTAAGGCAGTGAAACTGATCAAATCACCTGTGCAAAATAATGGAAATCCTGAAAACATGACCTGTTGGGGGTCCATGAGGACTGGAGTTGAGAAACACTGCATTAAGGAAACAAATAGACAGGAAGAACAGCAGTTGGTTGGAATGTGTGCTCAAACAAAGGCAGATTATATAGAGGATCCCTCAAGGAGAATTAAAGAAAGGTGGGAGAAATGTGTACAATAGTATAAAACACAAGCAGTGGCCAATGGTAAGAGATATTTTTTTTTCTCAGAACCAACATAATTATGAGCAAGGGAATCATGCCAATAAATTAATGACATTTATAGTTAAAAAATAAGCAACTACCCTGGTGGCCCCTAAGGTGAAATATAGAGAAGGTGAGATGAAGTGTACGGTCACTGGAGTACTCAATTGCTTTTATTATTATGTCTCAATGTACACGATAAGGTTAAATTGTACATTTAGTGAAATGGAGCAATTTATGAATGAATTAGAATATTCTAGATGGACAGGGGAACAAATTAGAATAGTGGAGAAAGAGATTACAGAGGAGCAATAAATCAGGCACAGGTGGTATTCCACTGGAGGTGTATATTCAATATATAGTCATATTGGCGCCAGTTCTAACTAAAATATATACAGAAGCCTTCAGGAGAACTGCCTATATCAATGTGTTAGGCCACAGTGGTGCTAATTCCAAAGCCAGATAAAGATTTAAGTGAATGTGCCTCATATAGGCCAATTTCACTGTTAAACAGTGATTATAAAATCTTGGGGAAGATCCTTGCAGGAAGGCTTAATAATGCCAGGGAAATTTGACATCCATTAATATAAGAACACACCTGATGGTCCAAATGAGGGAATACAAGGACGAGTGCTCTAGCATCTTACAGCCGGGTCTTCGATTCTGTGAGTGGCTGTTTCTATAAAAATCGCTGGACCACTTTGAGTTTGGTGAAAGATTTAGAAAATAGATTGCTATAATTTATAGCCAGTCATGTTTGAATCTATTGGTGAATGGATTGTTATCCCCTAGGATAAGGTTTAGCAAATCTGAAGAATTTTAAGGAATACCTATGGGGGATAGGAGGGAAGTTATAGGACTTTATGCGGAATATATAATTTAATACATGGGAGATATATATAATAAACCTTAATAGAATAAACCTTAATAGAAGCAATGAAAGTTATAGATAACTTTGGAAAATATTCAGGCTTAAAAATTAATTGGCAGAAATCGGTTTTAATCGGTTTCTAACTCGCGTTAGAGATCTGGAGGAGCAAGTTGCAACACTGGGCCGAACCGACAACCTTGAAAGGTAGCTGAGCAGGTGGCTAATGGGATTGATGTGGAGGGCGGAGGGGCAAATCAGGATTATCAGGTAGGAAGATGGGTTATTGTAACAAGAGGGAGTGGTAGGGGCTCACAGAAAAGGAAGGCTGGCCCTGGATGTGAGCACTCAAACAGATTTGCCAAGTTGGGTGAAGATGTGGGGATGGCAAGCTCAGGGGTGGCAGCCCTGGATGTCACTGCTATCCCTAACAGCCGGGAGGGCAGACCAACTGGGAGGGGTGGTGAGGGTAGTGCAGGAAGGCCTAGACAGCTGTTGGTAGTAGGGGATTCTATAATCAGAAGGACTCGCCTCAACCAAATGGTTTGCGGTCTTCCTGGTGCCAGGGTTCGGCATGTGGTGGACCAGGTTGATAAATTACTGAGAGGGGCTGGGCATGACCCAGCTGTCTTGGTTCATGTTGGAACCAATGACAGAATACATAGAAGGTGGAGGCTCCTTAAGGATCAATTTAAAGAACTAGGCTGCAAGTTGAAGGGAAGGACCTCCAAGGTTATATTCTCTGAAATATTACCTGTGCCATGAGCAACTCAGGAAAGACAGGGGGAAATTAGAAAACTCAATGCATGGCTGAAGATCTGGTGTAAGAGGGAAGGATTTGGGTTTCTAGAGCACTGAGCTGACTTTTCATTGGGTTGCAACCTATATGCTAGAGATGGTTTGCACCTCAATGGAAGGGGGTCTGCTGTGCTAGGGGAGAGGTTTATGGGAAGGCTGGAGGAGTATTTAAACTAGGATTGAGGGGGGAGGGAGAATTAGATTATAACGGGGTAGACAGATCAGACATGGGTCAGTACTTATTGGTGGGTGGAATGGGGAAAGATGGGGGGGAAGGCTAAGGCAGATGATAAAAAGGTTCCCATGTTACAAACAACCAGGTGGAATTGGTACCATCTGTATGAAAATAAAAAATATGCAAAATACGTGTGAACAAGGTGTCAATGGATTTAAAGTGTTTGTTCACCAATGCTAAAAGTCTGCCAAGCAAAATAGGTGAGTTGGAAGCTTTGCTGCAGAACTATGATTTAGTTGGTATTGCTGAATCTTGGCTTTATTCTTCACATGACTGGCCCATTAATATTCCTGGCTATGCTCTCTTTCAGAGAGACAGGGTAAATAGGAAAGGTGGTGGTGTCTGTCTCTATGTGAGATGTGATCTCAGAGCGAGTGTGAAAGAGGACCTAGTTGATTGAGAGTGTGATGAGGCTGAAGTATTATGGGTGGAACTACACATGGGGGTGCGTGCTACAAAGGTAATCATTGGAGTTTGTTATAGGCCTCCCAGTGTTAATGAGGAAGTGGAAACTCAGCTCCTTGCACAGATCAAAAGGGCTGCAAGGGCTGGGACAGTAACAATAATGGGGGATTTTAACTACCCAGAATTGACTGAAGTAATAGAACTGCAGAAACAGTTAAAGGGCAAAAATGTTTAAACCTACTACAGGACAATTTTATGGTACAGTTCATAGAAGCCCCTACTAGGAATGATGCTCTGCTGGACCTGGTAATCTCAAACCATGCAGAGCTTATTACGAATGTCCATATAAAAGAACATCTGGGTAGCAGTGACCATAACATGATTTCATTTATTGTTAGCTGTAAACAGCGAAGCACATACGGGAAAAATAAAAACGTTCAATTTCAAGAGAGCTAATTTTC